ATGTTCAGGGGGGGCTAACCGTGGTTCTCTTGGTGCAGGAGTCAACAGGGTTTGGTTGATGACTTGGTTTGACTGTTGGGACAAAGCTTGAAGAGAAACAACCATTTCCTGAAGCCCTTTCTCAAGTTTACTAACAGCCCCTTCTACCTTAGAGCACCACTCTCGGGTTGGTGTTGGATCCATAATGGCCAGATTCTACTGTCATGAACCAGAGGCCGGATCGCAAACAACAACAACAACCACTGAGAGGGTTAAAAGATTTATTGTGAAATAAAGTAAAACTCTGGAGTAGGTCCAGTTCTGGGCTGGTTCCGATCTTCTGATTGGTAGTTCGAGATTGGGTAGTGTTGTAGTGGCGGGCTGCCAGTAGAAGTAGAACTGATGTTAAGGTCCACTGGAACGGAGTCCAACAGGCTTGCAACTAAAAGATAAAGGTTAGTAGATGCAGGGGGGAAAAAGACTAATTGGGGAAATGAATCTGTGGGAATCAGATTCAGGGGTAAGGATAAGTCCGTGATACAGAATGAGCTTGACCTTTAATCCGTGATCCAAAAAACAGTCAGAAGGGAAAGGCAAAGTTCATACCGTGAAGTCAGTTGTTCAGCAGAAGTATCCAGTACGTGATCCAAAAAGAGAGTCAAAAAACAAGAGCATGAGTCGGTACCTGATCAGATGAGCAAAAGCAGACGAGGGCTGAGGCAAAAGCATGGTCGTGGTCAAGGCAAGGGTCATGAACGTGATGAGTCAATCAATGGAATGCTGGAAAGTCTACTGCTGATGAGACAGGATAGAGAATCTGGCCCAGACTGAGAGGAATGAGTGAGCTTAAGTACTGACTGGACCAGGTGGTGGAGCTGTGGGATAATGAGCGGTGACAGGTGACATGAGTTGAGTGATTACTGAGTGTGCAGCATGACAGAGGAGCTGACAGAGAGCAGAGCTATGACAGAATGGGAGAGCATTCTTATTTCTAAACTTGAGAAACTGGTCTCCTCTGTCCCCAGATGTCTGTTGAGTGTTGTAAGAAGAAGGGGGGATGCCACACAGTGGTAAAAATGGACTTGTCCCAACTTTTTTGGGATTTGTTGACGCCATGAAATTTGGAAACAACAGATTTTTCTCTTAAAACGATACATTCTCTCAGTTTAAACTTTTGATCTGTGATTTGTGTTCTATTCTGAATAAAATATTAGATGTTGTCACCTCCACATCGTTGCATTCAGTTTTTATTCACAATTTGTTTAGTATCCCAACTTTTTTGGAATTCGGTTTGTAGAACATTGATTACGTACTGTAACCCCAGATTCTATGAGTATAGGTGTAGCCCTTTAAGCGCCGGGCCTCACTGGCTCCTAAATGGCTGAAGAAAAAGCTATTTGGGAGCCGATTACCTGCTCTTAACGTAATTTATACGGACCGGGTGGGGCCCACACAACAGGTGGGCGTGGACTAAACTTTTCAGTGTGATGCTTTGCATGACGGGATAAAACCCACTAGTGAGGGCCTTAAAGGGCTACGCCTATACTCATAGAATCTGGGGTTACAGTACGTAACCAACGTTTCTTTGTGTTGAAATGTTTCGTCTTTCATCCAAAGGACTTCATCAGTCCGAGGAGCCACAACAAACTCAGTCCCACAAGCAGCACACTTACATAGTGGACCAACCAGTTTGATGGTGATAAAAACAAAAAGAAACCGTCCAGAGGACCTGACTTAACGTTGTTGGATTTTCTACCTGGATTATTGAGCATGAACTTTGATATTTTGTTATTGTTTCTCATCAGTTTGTTACTAGTGACCAAACAAGGGAGGATGATGAGATCGTCTTCACCACAGCTTGGATGAACAACACATTAGCTGTTTCCATCCTTACTGTCATCAGCCTCACTTTGATTACAATTACAGCTTTATCGACATCAGTAACAGGTGATGTAGAAAAATAAAAACATTGAGGACAGAGCAGCTCGAGTACAAAGACGACTTCCAACCGTTATCACAGTTTGATCAGGGACATCTCAGTATTTGTATCTGGCAGCCCTTTGAGGTTTTCCAGAGTCTTCACAGATCCTCGGAATGATTTAAATGTTTGTAGAGTTTGAAACAAGCTCTCCAAACCTGTAATTGGGCCAATATTTGACCTGTATGCGTCTCGGGACAGTTCTTGGTGGGACTTTAGGCAGAGTTGGTGGAGTTTTCCTTCTCTCTTTGCTCCTATCTGTGATTTTGAAGCCACTTTCATTTTCCTTATGAAAGCTGGCCCTGGGTAAGAAGTGGGTGGAGACGTGCTGGGATTTGACCCATGGGCTGGAGCCCATTTTAGCTTCCCCCCTCTTGTTGAGGGCCACAAACCCCTCACGACCAGTCCATTGATTCCTGCGGGTCACAGAGGCGTACGTGTTGTAACTGTTCTCCTGGAAACGCTCCCTGAACTTACAGTCGTCTAAGAAAAATTCCTACAAAAAAGAATAAATAGAAGCTATTAGCAAATTTTATGTCTGTGTGTTGGATCATTTAAGTAGCCTAATTGAAAATTAGACTAACTGTAAACACTGAGTCAGTATTTACAATTTTGTTGTTCTTATTTTTTATGTCTATTTGTGCACACTTTGTGCAATTTGAATTGTTAATCTATCAAAATGTTCTCCTCAGTAGGAAGATGGGTGCCAGTGGAGATTTTAGCCTCTTTTTGGGGGTGCTCAAGCACCCCTAAATTTGAACTCAGCACCCCTGAAAAGTAAATAAATCCTCATTAGCATTTTGTATGGAAGTTCAGTTCTCAAATCTTAGATTTATCAAAATATTATCAATAAGATCTTGAATACAAGATGGAGCTAGCTTGTTGAAAGCTTTGTAGGTTAGAAGTAAGATTTTGAAAATAATTCTGGATTTGACAGGGAGCCAATGGAGAGAAGCTAAAACTGGAGAAATATGATCTTTCCTACTAACTCCAGTTAAGACTCTGGCAGCAGCATTTTGGATCAACTGAAGACTTTTTAAAGAAGTATTTGGACACCCAGATAACAAACCATTCAAACCACTGCAATAGTCCAGTCTAGATGTGACAAATGCATGAACCAGTTTTTCTGCATCATTTTTAGATAAGATGTTTCTAATTTTAGTGATATTACTCCAGCAAACTGGTTGGTCCACTTAAGGAGTGTGCTGCTTGGTGGGGAAACAGTTTACTGGAACACCTCAGACTGATGAAGCCCTCCGGATAGAGGGTGAAACGTCTCTTTAAAAAAGAAACTGTCCAGATGACCTGACTGAGAATTATTGGATTTGGTACCTGGATGATTGAGCATGAACTTTGTTACACAGGTGGAATAAGGCAGTTCTAGTAATATTTTTAATGTGGGGGATAAAAGACATGTCCTGATCAAATATAACACCAAGATTTGAACATTAGAACTGGAGGTCAGATTAATGCCATCTAAAGAGGGAGAAAGACGGAAAATTTTTTCCTAAGATGCTTGGATCCTAAGTATATATATATATGCTATATGTATATATGTGTATATTCAATTCAATTCAGTTTATTTATATAGTGCCAAATCACAACAAAGTTGTCCCAGGGCACTTTACAGGAACATGCACATACATAAAAGCCAATTAGTAAAGTTCTCTATCTAAGGAATCCAGCAGACAAGTTGAATCTTGGCTTCGTTGCAGTCTCCCATCCTGAGCAAGCACAGGGGCAACAGTGGAAAGAAAAAACTCCCTTTTAAAAGGAAGAAACCTCCAGCAGAACCAGGCTCAGGACAAGCGGCCATCTGCTTTGACCAGAGATGAGAGTTCTGTGGTGGAGTTAAACTCAAAACAGTCTGCTCCTCAGATAAATAATGTTAAATTATTATTTTTATATATGAATGTTTCTGTTCAGTGCCCTGAGATGACTTCTGTTGTGACTTGGGCCACTTGGCGCTATAAAAATAAACTGAATTGAATCCTGTTGTCATGCCTCTTCATTGGTTACATTTTATTGTGAATTCTATTTGAAAAAAAGTTATGTGAACTTTCATTAACTTTCATTTCAAAGCTCTTGAGTAAATGTTTGAATTATTTCAGTCTGACGCTTCATCCCTGACCCAGCTCTTCAGCCAGACTCTGTAAATGGTTCCTTTGACTCAATTGAAAACTGGATTATACCTCACCTGTGGAATGAACTCCCCTTCTTTGTATGACCAATGACTGTGGTAAAGCTTTTAAAAACTGCGTAAGATGTTTTCAATCAGACAAGCTTGTATAGATCTGATCTCACATCTTCTTTGTCTTTCTATTTGTCCTTTGTCCTTCTATTCTATTGTTCTGTTGCATTAAACTGTAAAGCATTGTATAATTTTTATATGTAAAAAGTGCTATCTCCTGTTACCTACTGTCTTACATGTGACACTAGTAGAAATGCTGCTATGTTTTTTTTAGGGCCTCCAATACGAGAGTTGGAGGTTCGAATCCACCAGCAGTCACATGTCTAAGTGTCCCTGGGCAAGACAGTGAACCCCTCATTTCCTCTGAAGTGTGTCCCATCGGTGTATGAATGTGATCTAAAGCTCTGATTAGTTTCTTTAGAATGATTTGTTCAATTAGCTTTGTAGAGATCTAGTAGAGTGCTGTATGAATGGGTAAATGAGGCACAGATTGTGGTGTAAAGCGCTTTGAGTATCTTGAAATAAGATAGAAAGGCGCTATGTCAGTACAGTCCATTTACCATATGTTTTTCAATTATTTTGCCTCAAATGTTCTAAAAAGCTGAAACAAGCTAAAAACTCTCACCCTTGTACAATCATTCATAGATGTGGATCTACAAATAATAAATTATAAATGTAAATAGTTTTGATTTGTGTGGGTAAACAATACCAAAGCAATCGAAGAGCTGTGTGATATTAAAAAAAAGATAAATAAGACCGCTAAAAAAGCAGAAGCTAAAAAATCCTACATTATGATAAAATATTAATGCACCACCGTTACCGTTTACCGGATGTGAGCCTCAGTGTGGCCACGCCCACTTACTGTTTTAGCTAGCAGGCAGCGCGTCAGTCAGAAACCGAAATCAAAGGTAGGTTTAGCGAACATTTCGGTCCTTAACTATCCCAACACCGAGGTTTAAGTTGAGTTAAGTCGTCTTTTTTACGCTATTGACGGAGAAACCCTTAAAATGTTGCTTAAATGTTTGTTAATTTTGATGGACAAGCAAACTCTTGAATGTTTCACCAGAGTCTTGAAAAGTGTGAAAAGTATTTTTTATTTTCCTGATACGAATAGAGAAAGGCAGAAAAACTTATTTATGTTACATACACTGTAAAACGTGAGGTTTAAAGCGTAAGAGTTTTATTATACGAGTCTTAAAAGTTGTTCCAAAACAGGAGTCTCCTGATGTCTTGATCTTTGTAGACAATGTGTTTTTTATATGATCATATCTGTAATAAACCCCTGACTACTATTTATTCATTCATTAGACAGGTTACTCCCACTGAGCCTCGTAAACATTATGGAAATGGACAGAAAATGTCTAATTATAATACATATTACCATCACTTTAAATGTTTGTGGTTGGGTGTTGAATGGCCCTGGCTAAAGTTGAAAACATGTGACTTTAAAATTAAGTTTGTGTAGAAAGGCTAACTGTTCTTGCATCGGTTTTCATGTTTGCTTCATCAATTTTTGACAGGATGGAAAGAAAAAAAAACCCTCGGCTAATATAAACTTCAATATAGTCATTGCACTGTGTATTTGTTAACAAAATATCTAATGAGTCAGTGGTATAAACTTCAATATAGTCATTGTACTGTGTGTTTGTTAACTAAATATCTAATGAGTCAGTGGACATTTTTCAAGGAACCTTCCAGAAATGAATCTTCAGATGTCCTTGCACAACATCAGCCTTTGGAGTCAGTCTGATTCAAAATGGCTGACAAAGCCAGCTCACCTTGGGACAGGGTTACATAGTGATGTTACCTCTAACACTGAAGCTTCAAAGCACGCTTCAAACTCTACAGGGTAGTTATGGTGAAGCAGTGGGCCGGAGCTCGCTTCATGTGACGTCACCGATGACGTGTGAACCACTTCACTGCTTCATTTAGACCGAGTCAGCCGACGGCTTCGAGTTGACAGGCGGAGTTTCAAACATTTGCCGTGATTCAGTGTATTTAAGATGGCGCAAGCCCTGGTTCATATCCCCGTTCTACACGTATTATAAGTTACGAACAGCTGAGGGAGGGTTAGGACACCTGACAGACTGTCAAGGACGTGCATTCGTACACAGCCTTGTTAATTGTGACTCTCTAAAATAGTAATTTCAATTCAACCTTTATTTATACAGGTTTAGCCTCATTGAGCCTCGTCATTTACAAGAGAGACCTGTTTTTAACCAGTTTATTCAAATGTTTAACAACCTGTTAAAATACACAAAAATGCAGGAAATGGCATCTCTTTTATTCCAATTTTTGTGGGGTGGGGGACACACGGAACCCCCCACCCCCACCCCACCCACCCCACCAGCGCCCCCACCAGCACCCCCACAGTTCATCCATCCATCCATTTTCTTTACCCGCTTATTCCATTTTGGGTCACGGGTGCCCATGTCCAGCAATCACTGTGCAAGGGGCGGGGTACACCCTGGACGGGTCGCAAGTCCATCACAGGGCCACATAGAGACAAACGAGACAAACAAACATTCACTCTCTCACTCACACCTAGGGACAATTTAGAGTTACCAATCAGCCTAACATGCATGTTTTTGGTCTGTGGGAGGAAACCGGAGTACCCGGAGAAAACCCACGCATGCACGGAGAGAACATGCAAACTCCACCCAGAAAGGCCCCTGGACCGGGGTTTGAACCAGGGACCTGCTCGCTGAGAGGCAGCAGCTCTACCAGTTGCGCCACCGTGCTGCCCCCCCCACAGTTCATATTGTTTTTAAATTAGCCTACAGTTGTTTGGATAAATTACTCAGAATCTTTAATGAGGTACTAAAAACACATGTACAACACACATATATACAAACATAAGCGCTATTAATTACGCAAGAAGTGCATCGTATTTGCAGGACTTCAGTTGGTGCAACAATCGCTACTGCCAGTAGATGTCACCCAGGGGAATTGAATGAAGCTTCGGGTAGTGAACCTCTTTATGACACAATGGTTCAATATGATTCTATGCTTCAAAAAGCTTCATTTTGACATCACTAGGATTACATTTAATTCAGTCAATTTTACAGATGTGGACCTAAAATTTTGTGTGATAGTTGCTGAGACTTCACTCGCTTCTTCCTTTCCGGGTCATCACTATGCAGAGCCGGGGGACACCCTGGACAGGTCTACAGTTCATCACAGGGACACCCGGACAGGTCTCCAGTTACTAGTTACATTACTAGAACCTCCTTCCACCTGCGTAACATCGCTAGAAACATCTTATCTAAAAATGATGCAGAAAAACTGGTTCTTGCGTTTGTCATGTCTAGACTGGAGTATTGCAATGGTTTATTATCTGGGTGTCCAAATACTTTTTTAACGTCTTCAGTTGATCCAAAATGCTGCTGCCAGAGTCTTAACCGGAGTTGGGTCTTTCAGTTATCAGGCTCCTCTCTTGTGGAACAAACTTCCAGTTTCTGTCCATGAGGCTGACACATTATCCAGTTTTAAGACTGGGCTTAAGACTTTCCTTTTTTATAAATACAGTTAGGGTTGACTTGTTATGGTCTCTTAAGTTTAAGCTTAAGTTTAAGCTTAAACTTACATAAATATATATGTATGTATGTATGTATATATATATGTATGTATGTATGTATGTATATATGTATGTATGTATGTATATATATGTATGTATGTATGTATATATGTATGTATGTATGTATATATGTATGTATGTATGTATATATGTATGTATGTATGTATATATATATGT